AATGATAATCATTGTTTTATTATAACAACTCCCAAAAGCCATTAATCAAATATTCATGTGTCTAAAATTTTAAAGATTAATTTTGAAATTTAAAAATATGAATTTTTTTTCAAAAGGCCCCAGTGAATACATTTTTTGAGTTGTATTCCAAGACAAGAATGAATTTAAAAAATACCCTAGTTCTTTAACTTGCAAAAGTATAGGAAACTGCTGAGCTGACAAAGAACTTACAGTCAAATCCCCATCTTCCCAACATCTGTTATATAGACAGTTTAAAAAATTCTTAGGAAGGAAAAATGTGAATTTATCCCTAGGAGAGTAATGATTTCTCATATGGAGTCAAAACATACACACATACCCAGTATGTGTCCATTTTCAATTTGTCCCTTCTGTACTACTGCTTTGCACTCTGAATGAGAACTTTTAAAATTAAAAGCTTCCAAGGGCATTCACAGAGATCTTTTTGGTTTTGTGGAATCCTTCCAAATCTCAGTAATTATTTCCTGTGATGTTTTATAGGAACTTTTCATAGGCAGATATCATCACTCAAAATGTTTTTTTAATCTGGTTGGTAATGTCCTCTGGGCTTTAGAGTATCTATTTTCCCTTAATCATTCCAGCCTCCTGTTATCAATCCATTAAACAAATAAATTTCAGCTTAATTTTTTATGCATGACCTTCCTGCTATAATACAAAGATATAACAGTAATGAGACTAGCTTTAGCCACTTACGTATCTTCTAAAAATGGTATTAACTGCTATTGTTGGGCATTACGTTATAAAAACATTATTTACCAAAAGTCTCCAAATGGTTGATTTTTATTTTTATGTCTTCCTAATGCAATGTAGCTCAGGTAATTTCTGGTTTGGGACTCAAAGAAAGGATACTACTAGGTTTATGTGGATTCTTAAGTTCTAATGAGTGATTGACTAGGGAGACCTCAGCAAGAGACTGAGGTGTGGAACAGGAATGCACAGCCTTGTGAATTTATGTGCTGAGTTTGTATTTGGGAGACTTGCTTAACTATCACCCAATAACCAGCACCAAACTATGTTTCCCGGGGAGAGGATGATACTGCTTTTGGGCTTTGTTTCTTTTCTCTGTAAATTCACAGGTCATGCCCCTAGGACATACATAGACAAATCTGGAATGCCAAAAATCTTGCTTTGGATGTAACTTAGAAAAAGGCCAGAAATATTCAGAGAAACGAGTTCGGGCCTGGGTTTTGTGTTTCAAGGTAGTTCCAACCGAAAGAGTAAACAATGACAATGGAAACCTGTTTTGAGTGATTTTTCCTCCATCTGCTCTGACAGGCCGCCTTGACCATTCAGGACAGCCACATTGAGATCCACAGGCTGGTTCTCCAGCAGCACGAGGGCCTGTCACCCGGCCACTCTGTCCTACGAGGCGGCCCCTGGCAGGACCAGAAGTCCCGCGACGTGGACAGGCAGCGCGAGGAGCTGGCCAACGTGCACGAGCTCCAGCACCAGCTCCAGCAGGAGCAGCGGCGCTGGCTCCGCAGGTGTGACCAGCAGCAGCGGGCGCAGGCGGCCAGGGAGAGCTGGCTACAGGAGCGGGAGCGGGAGTGCCAGTTGCAGGAGCAACTGCTGCTGCAGAGCCAGGGCGAGCTGGACCTCCAGCTCCAGGAGTACCAGCACAGTCTGGAGCGGCTGAGGGAGGGCCAGCGCCTGGTGGAGAGGGAGCGGGCAAGGATGCAGGCCCAGCAGAGCCTGCTGAGCCACTGGAAGCAAGGCCGGCAAAGAAGCCTGCCCGTGGCATTTCTTCCTGATGGCCCTGAGGTATGGACCTTTAGGGTGCGATGAGGCAGCCTCTCCAAGACAGGAGTGGGCCTGAGAGCTCCTGTAACACTAACCAAACATCTGTCTTTTTGGTTCTTGTGTAAGAGCTCATGAGGATTTCTCAATTCGTAGGTAGCCAAAGCTGAAAGCTTTCAGAGATAATGCATATCCATTTTGACTTAAAATATGGACAGTGTGAGGGCCCAGGTCCTATGGGATCACTGCACTCTGTCTGAGACACCCTTCCCTAAAGAACAAACATAGAATCGAGTTGTCCTAGTAAGGCCAGGGTGGCTTTGTCCTGAAGGCACACTCACTGTGAGTGAGCTCTTTTCCCAGTATTTGAAGGACTCTCTTGATATGATCTGTCTGAAGAATTCTATGCAGATGTAGCTTTTAGAAGATCAATTAACTATTAATATACGCTACAGGCACTGAATTTGGCAAGTAAATACTATTCGGTAAATTCAAAATGCATTTCACTAATTAGAGTTATTATTATTATTTTGAGACAGAGTCTTACTCTGTTGCCAGGCTAGAATGCAGTGGTGCTATCTTAGCTCACTGCAACCTCTGCCTCCTGGGTTCAAGGGATTCCCCTGCCTCAACCTCCCAAGTAGCTAGGACTACAGGCGCATACCACCATACTCAGCTAATTTTTTGTCTTTTAGTAGAGACAGGGTTTTGCCATGTTGGCCAGAATAGTCTCAATCTCCTGACCTCATGATCCACCTGCCTTGGCCTCCCAAAGTGTTGGGATTACAGGCATGAGACACCAAGCTATTTATTTGCATCTTTTAAAAACATGCTTGACAATCCCATTGGTCCCCAGAGTTTGTTTTCCTGTGTTATGTGCATGTATGTTTTTTATTGATAGTGCATAATATTGTAGAAGTTGATAACTTTATAAGGTCTATGTTGCAATCTGTTTTTCCTTTTAAGTTGGCTAAATTATGTTTATTGCAAACTCCTCATGTATATGTGGATATGTTTTCAACTTTTTTATTTAGCAAAAGTAAAAAATGCTGCTTTCTCTGATTAAAGTGGAAACACTTTAATGTCATAAAATGCCACTTCTTGTGTTTTGTGTGTGTGTGTGTGTGTGTGTGTGTTGTTGTTGTTGTTAAAGATATGCCATGCATAGCAAATTGAAGTTTTTGGTACTAGCTCATTAAAAGGGGATGTGGTGGAGGGAGAAAAGAAGTGGTAATCTTGACTTCACTGTTACTGAAATCTTAATTCCTAAGATTCTCTCAGGAATAAATGCTTCATGAAACTTGTGTAAGTTAGAAAAATTATTGTACTTTTTCTGTATTTCTTTCCACAGGTAATAGAACTTAATCGATCTGAGAGTTTATGTCATGAAAACTCATTCTTCATCAATGAAGCTTTAGTACAAATGTCATTTAACACTTTCAACAAACAGAATCCATCAGTTATTCATAAGGATGCCAATTGCCCCACAACTCAATCTAATTCTGACTTGGTAAGGACTAGTGAAAATCAAGAAGACCTCAAGACAGACCTTTCCCAGCCTTTGAATGTCAGCCACGAACTGTGGACAGCTGCTGGGTCCTGCCATCAGATGCTTCCTCTCCATGAAAGCAGCAAGGATTCTTGTAAAAATGGTAATTAACACTTTAAATGTCATCTGTATAGCTTCAACAAGAAGTTGTCTCTCTGAATGGTTGGCTCTTCTATAGAGTGAATCAAAGTCCTCCCTAGCATGGGAATAAATTGGTGTTAATGAGCTGGAGTTTGTGGCATTCACTTTTCTTCAGTGAAGTCTGGGATCGGCCTTCACTTATAAGTTACCTAGACAAGTGAGAGCATGGTGGTAGGGCTTACAGAATGCTCACAACACGTAAGCACCAGGCAGTATTTTTAGATGTGTGGGTTAAAATGATAATGTCCTCTTAAAAGTAAAACAACTTGATATTTACTCCCCACTACTGTGGACCCCTGAACATCCTGAAACACCTATGTTGACACTCAGAAATAAAAGATACCAACAGGGTTTATAGTAGGACTTCATTGTCTATCGGGGCAATTTCCTGCAATGTTAGTGAAATCTTCTGTACTGCTATTAAATACCCAAAATGAAACTGTTAACATTATTTGTCATTGTTAAAAAAAAAAAGGTGTTGTCTCTCCGTAAGTACCTCATAATAACACAATTTGCTAATCCCATTAAAGCATTTGCCAAGTATAAATGAAAGGCAGCTCGTGTTACCAGCTCCACATGAATCCAAATGATTTAAATCTATGTCTATTATAAATTGTTTTCTGTGGGATATGAGGTAGGGAATGAGAAGAACTTGAAACCTCTCTACTGAAAAACAGATGGTATGCAATAGAATAAACAAATGGCTGGCCACATGGATGTGAAATAAATCACCCACAGCTAAATGTTTCAGAAACATAAAACAAGCAGTAGTATAGAAGTCTTCAGAACTGGACACAGATTTGTTTCTATGCTAATATATATTCTTAGTTTGGCAGTTGGAGGATAATTTTTCAGCAACAAAAAGGTTTGAAGGTATTTGGCTTCTCCCAATTCAAGAGTAATAATTCTAACACTGCTTACAAATTGATTTACTACTGATGCAAAAGATGTTGATTCTTAGTAGTGGCTAATTCTTTACTTAGTCACCGTGGGAACATTCTTACTTCTTATCAGCATATAGGAGAGAATGAAATAGTTCTTAAAAGTATTGTTTCAAATATTCTTTAAATAAAAAATATGAATAGTTCAGATTAAAAGGTCAAGCAAAATTTAGAAAATGTAACTTCTTTAATATATTGTCTTTCAACTTTAGTACAATAAAGAGCACATTGCAGAAGGCTTCTTCTACGCACATGTTGCTTGGCTGTGTTGATTTTTAACCTGCTATTTACAGTGCTTTGTGTGTTTTTGTCAGCATGGTTTTACGTACTGGCTTTGGTATAGTTCAGAAACTCAGTTTAAGTTAAACCACATTCAGCTTGTGTTTAAAAGAAGTATGTCTCTTTCGCTTTTTGTGTATCTCCCATCTTTTTCTATTGACTTGTGCTTCAAAGTAAAAACTTGTTAAACATTTGGCAGCATACTTGCAGTAGATAGAAAATGTACTAAGGAAATAAACAGTGACTATATACGAAACCAGTCTATCCACATGTAAGGAATTAGAGCCAAAGGAAATGCTGAGAAATGTACTTACGCTTAAGAAATTGTATGTCCAGAGTAGGCCAGGGACACTCAGGACATTAACAGGAGAGAGGAAAATCAACTTCGGCCTAAATCTCTTAGGAACATTCTGGTTTATGTAAGTAGGGATTACATCAGAAATGCTGTGTGTACTGTTCACCACTGGAGTTTTGCAACTAGTCAAAAAACCTTATTTATGTTTGTTTACTTCATGAAAAGCAATTTCTGGAAGAGAGAAAAGAAAGTCAGAATAGGGGGCGATAAGAAAGTGGAATGAAAATTGGATATATATACTTAAAAGAGCGGTCAAGTCTACATAAAATTATTTAAACTACTACGGAGGTTTCACAGCTTTTATCGTTGACAGTAACACAAAGTCGGCACTGGTGATGGCCTTAGCCAGGCTCCGTGGGTGCGTGCCACAATGATCTTTGGGGACAGTGACTGAGGGGGCCGGACAGGAAGAAGCAGGCTCCAGGGCATGCTGGGTGGTGACAGTTGGATGTGCCAGAACCAAGGACCACACAGTGGTGTTGTCCCCCTTTCCATGTTTTGCTACTGAATCTGGGTGAGTGGCCATCAGTGACCACTACTGAGGATCTCCGTAGTTCACCATAATCTGGCTAACGAAATTTGCCTGCTATGTTGTGGGCTGGTATTTTAGCTAAATGTACACTTAACCATGATTTCATTCAGGCTTGAGTCACTCTTTCTTTGTCAGATCATAAGGTTGGCTGTTTCAGGTAACACCTTAAAGAATGGTTTGCTCTTTAGCCTAGTCTGGTACTGTGGATATATGATCAGCTCAGATCAGTGAAAATGTGAATTTCTAGAACTGTAAGGCTGATGGAAAAATTGTATGTAAATAAAATTATCCAGTGTGTTTAGATACTACCTAAATAGGCATTTCTATTGGTTTGTTCAGTACAGCCTCAGCAGGTATTCTTGTGCTCTGATTGTGATTGGTTTCTGAATTGCTCTGTCCCTATTCCAGCCGCTAATAGTTGTATGACACATCAAATTTCAGGCATGGTACTAAGGTTTTACACGGAGAAACTCAAAATACTCACAACAACCCACTGAGATGGTTCTGTCCTTTGAAAGGGGCAGCTGGGGTATGGAAAGGTTAGGTAACTTGTCCAGGTCACACAGCTAGTAAATGGCAGAGCCAGGAATCGAACCTGGGAAGATTGGCTCTAGAGCCCATGCTGTCAATCATTACACTGGCATATCTATTTTTTAAATTTAATTTCTTTTCTTTTTCTTTTTTTTTTTTTTTTTGAGGAGTCTTGCTCTGTCGCCCAGGCTGGAGTGCAGTGGTGACAGCTTGGCTCACTGTTTCCTCCACCTCCAGAGCTCAAGTGATTCTCCTGCCTTAGCCTCCTGAGTAGCTGTAATGACAGGCGCCCACCACCACACCTGGCTAATTTTTGTATTTTTAGTAGAGATGGAATTTTGCCAGTTTGGCCAGGCTGGTCTCGAACTCCTGACCTCAAGTGATCTACCCACCTCGGCCTCCCAAAGTGCTGGGATTGATTACAGGCTTGAGCCACCACACCTGGTCTAAATTCTTAGTTTTTAGAAAGGTGTTTTGAGTTGTACCTTTTTTTTTTTTTTGAGACAGAGTCTTACTCTATTGCCCAGGCTGGGGTGCAGTGGCATGATTTCGGCTCACTGCAGTCTCCACCTCCTGGGTTCAAGTGGTTCCTCCCACTTCAGCCTCCCAAGTAGCTGGGACTACAAGTTTGCACTATGCTCAGCTAATTTTTGGATTTTTTTTTTTTTTTTTTTAATAGAGACAGGGTTTCTCTGTGCTGCCCAGGCTGATCTTGAATTCCTAGATTTAAGCAATCAGGCTGCCTCAGCCTCTCAAAGTGCTGGGATTACAGGCGTGAGCCACTGCACCCAGCCATGAGTTATACTTTTTAAAGAAGTTGGTTTAGATACAGAACTAATCTAATCCTTTTTAATGCTTAATGGGATGTTCATGATTAAGGGCCAGGTTTTTGTATTTATTGTTTTTTTTTCCTTCCCCCTTCCCTTTTTAATAGTAACATTTGGAAAATATTTCTAAATGTTTTAGATTGCTGTGGCCAACTCTTGCAAGAGGCCTGAGCATCTTCAGTATCATAAATACTCTTTAGCTTTGCTGTTTTCCCATAAGGCTCATTTTCTTAAAAATATTTTGTTTTTCTAATATTGCCTAATAATAAACCCATGTTATCTGTAAATATTTTTTAAGATAGCACTTTAAAGAACCTTACTTTCCAGTTTTGGAAGTTACTTCATGAACAAAATTCTTGGATGTTGGAACATCAAATCCAAATTGGTATTTTATTTGCAGTGGAAGAGGTGGTTGGTTTAAGAACTTTTTCTGCACTCCTCTGTGGGACAGCAGCCAAGAATACAGAATATTTGAATTTCTTTAAACAATAGTCTCTGTGGGACAATTGCTATGTAATTGGCCTTATGAGATGCTCAATAGCATTACTCTGAAAGGCAAAAACAAAAAACAAAAAAAAACCCCAACATTTTTTTCTTGTGACTTCTTTTCTCCTAGCTTTAACATTTTAGAACTATATATTGAATGCATCTATTATGTTGTTATTTGTCTTTTTCATTAGCAGAGAAAACATTTTATGGTGTAAAAATATGAAATTTTAATTTTGCTTGTCAGTTATGTTTTTCTGTATACCTCAATATTTGCAGGTTTCCCAAAAGTTCTCTTCAATTCAGTTAAAGCATTATGATTTTGTTATGCATATGATAGAATGTAAGTCAAGCCAAATTTTATGTTAATCATATAGATACTGGGGGAAAAAGTAACTTGATTAAGTTTGGGTTCTCAAAAAATGTTTCCTTTTATTACATATTAGAATTTGGTGCCCAGAAAACTATTTTCAAAATTCAAAGCACTGTATTTAGAATACCTCATCTTGTTATTATTTAAAAAACAAAAACAAAAAAACGACAGCTGTGTTAAACTTGTCATTGCAAGTTTTTTATGTAAGGCAAGAAAATGGAAAACTTCCAAATGGAAACCTGTGCCATAGTGAGCATTTAAATAACAGTTTTAAGAAGTGAGAGGATGATAATTTCTCATATTTTAAAATATTTAATAATTTAGAAATTGATGCCTTACTTGTATAATCTATGTGGAAAGAAGCATTGCCCAAAGAACTTTGAGCAATTTTCCCAGAAATTGAAACTGGTATTAGACACCATGCACTTCTATGATATGAGTGTTTTGGAGATGGGGAATGTATTTATTTGCTAGGGCTGCCGTAATAGAAGTGCCACAGGGTAGGGTGCTTCGACAACAGAAATTTATTATTTTCAGTTCTGAAGGCTAGAAGTTAAAGATCAAGGTGTTGCCAGGATTGGTTTCTTCTGAGGTCTCTCTCCTTGGCTTGTGGATGAGATGGCTGTCTTCTTCCTGTGTCTTCACCTGGTCTTCCCCCTGAGCCTTTCTGTGCCCTAATCTCTCTTTATAAGGATGTCAGTGATTTAAATTGGGGCCCACCGTAATGGCCTCGTTTACCTTTATTTTCTAAAACTCTGTCTCTAAATACATTCTGAGCTACTGGGGGTTAGGACCTCAACATGTGAATTTTGGGGAGATACAATTCAGCTCTTAACAGGGGACAAAATGATGATTTTTCTCCCTGCTGTAATTTTATGTGTCATGAAAGCCTTATTTAAAAAAAAATGTAATATATTATATAAAAATTTTAAAAATATATATTTTTAATTAAAAGTATACACACACACACACACACACACACCCCTACACCAAAGTTGAACTATGACAACATTGTTAGTTTTTTGACTTGGTTAGGGAAGTGAATTGAATTTTGTAAAAAAAAAATAATTATTATATAATAGTAAAATTGTGATGAACATTTATATCCATATATTGATATTTATGTCTGTTATCAAGCCTAGTTCAACACATAGAAATTAAGACAGGAAATATTGAATCCATTTTCTACTTAGTGAAACTAGAGCAGAAAATATTGAGTCTCTAGGTTCATTTACTACTTATAGTTTTATTTCCAAGCCTAGGCCTCAACTAAGGGGTTTTGGGAATTGTGAGTACTCTCTGATTGGGAGGGACATTAGATGCATGTATTTTGGATTGCTTAAATGAAAACAAAGCTGAAGGATTGAGGACATTAATTGCAACATCAAATTATTATCCATATATATATATATATATATATATATATATATATATGAGTTTGAAGAAATCAAATTGAAATCATCTGGCAACTCTTTCTTCTAGAATCATGACTATTACATTAGGTGATGTTTTAAAGGAAACTATAATATTGCTTGCTCTTGGTAATCTATATCTTGACAGAACTATAAAGTATTGGGCCCAAGGGCTTAATTTTAATCTTTCTCATTGAGAAGTGGAGATGATTGACTTTAGCCTTTTGCAGATTTTATACCAGGAAAAGGAAACATGACATTTGCTTGTAGAGCCTGGTGAGCCAGGAGTGCTTACTGCCAACTTCCTGATTGCATATTTCTCTGGGGGCAGGTTGGCTATGTGAGCCAACTGGGCCAGGGCCATCCCGCCTCAGCACACAGAGCCTAAGACACAGCAGGAGCGCAAAACCAGCAGGTGGGTGGATTCAGAGGCAGCCAGCCAGCCATGAGGCTGCCTGTTCATCTCCACTCTGGGTTCCAGTTTAGCTTGAACAAGCTGCTGAAGTGTTGGAGTCCACATGGTATGAATGCTCCAGAGAGTATCAGAGGTTAGGCCTGGCCCTGGTCATCCTTAGCTTTAAAAATGAAAAAATAATACACGCATACACACACACACACACACACACACACACGTTGTCTGTGGGCTACATGTTTGATCTCTCTAGTATAGTGTGGCTTTACTCTCAAAGAGAGTAGGGCTTGGGTTTGGAGGGGAAGTTTATATACCAAACATAACTGAAGGATGGGGCTTGCTGCCATCAATCACAGTGACTGATGGGGCAATAACCTAGCCTCAGCAAAGGAAAGGAAGCATCACTCTCTCCATGTATCGGAATTTGGGGACTATCTCGTTCCCATCCAGCCATGTAGATTTTGTTTTTAAGGTTTGCTTAAAATGTGGAATGTTCAGCTGAGTACCACTGATTTATGTTTGCCTAAAAAGAATATGACCGTCTGTTTAGGGGGTGACAACTTTTCCTTAAAGGGTCATATAGTAAATATTTTAGTTT